ATAATAACCGGATGAAATTTCGGGAGACCATGGGATACGAACTTAGCTAGAATGATTGACTGAGGATATGCAAATAGAATAATCTATACAAATGGACCTTCCTAACATAATATGACCCTAACAAATAGACGGTTTAGTGCCGGCATCGAAACATGAAGTGTTAAAAGTATGGGATATGTAGATGATATGTTTTTGTTGATATTTGGATAATATTGGAAACCATATGGCAATCCTATTTTAGATAAATATGTTTTTATTATTTTTTTTTTTTTGCAATGAACATGTTTCGATTTTTCTACTTTCTTTAATGGTTATGGTCAAAAAAAAAATTTCATGCTACATTTGTTAAAATTTTAAAAAAAAAATTTTCTTTCTTCGTGAAAACAATGACGAGCAAAACTTTTTGTCTGGCCAATATCTTCGAAACTGAAATTCCATGCATTGTGATCGCGAATTAATATTAAGATTTAGGTTTTTTGAAATGTAACGGATGACAACTGAGGAAGGCTTGGCTAAAAACCATTAAAACCTGTTTGATGCCTTTAGAAAACAGAAAAGAGTAGAAAGGTGATTACTAGAAATATTTTATCAGGCAATCTATCAGATTTTGGCCTGTCCCATCTTTCTGAATAGTGCTTTGACAGATTTTTCTTGATTAAATATTAATTCGCAACTGTGTCTTCTTTTGCACTCTATTTTTGACAAGGATTTCAAAAGTATAACTTATGTATAATAAACAATGAAAACAATCAATTATGAAAAAGTCATTTTTTTAATATCCCATCCAGCACTTCTATTAATGTTCTTTCTGAATCTTAAAAATGCACGAAAGCGTACAAGATACGTCAAAACTAGTTATACATTTTTTTCATCAAATTTTTCATATTTTAAATAAATAACTTCATTTTGAATAAATTTAATTAATATAGTATTTAAAGTTTTCTTTCAAAATTAAATATGATTCAAACTAAAGTGTAAATAATTACTACACTAGTAAATTGTGAAAACTAAAAATACATCTTATTCAATTCGCAGAACCGTTCTTGCATCGCTACAATACTAATAAAGTTTGTGAAAATCAGAATCTATTATTACGCCTTTGCCTCTATAGATACTTTAAAAATAATGTAACTGGAATATTTTACGACAATTTCCATATTGCGCATCAACTTGGATACATTGTGTTCTTGAACATGATAAACAGTTAATGATAAACAAAAGCACGATAAACAGTTAATCATATGGTTATTCTTTGATGAAAATCGTTAATATGAAAAAATAATGTATTGTTACCAATAAAATCAAATTTTAAAAAGTAACAATTGTAATAAATCTGAATAAATATTTCCAAAACCAAAACTGACATTTTTTTTTGTTGCTTTAAGTAAGTAATGTAAAACTACTAGTAATTTAGGAATTCAAATGCTATCAAAATTAAAGGATTCGAATTGTTAGCTACAGCAATTCACATGAATATTCGAAAAATAGGAATGAAGATGGTAAGAATGAAAAAAGCAAAGTTAGAGTAAGTAAATAATTTATAAAAAAAATAAATAAAAAATAAAGCCAGAAAAATAAAAAAAATTAAACAAAAATTGGATTATTTTCCTACATTAAAAGACATATATCAAGCTACATCGTGGGCTTATTCTGTCAAAATGTATTCATGCGTATAAATTTTAACTATTCAGAGGATTATTTTGTATAATACTCTGAAGTCATTGAAATCGTCGATCATCTGAAAGTCTAAAGTCATACTGAAATCATTAAGTCATATAGAAGGATTGCAAGTCAGCAAGGCTAATGTCACCAACAAAACTAAAATTTTAAAAATACATTGTAATAAATCAGGATGAGTATGTTATGAAGGCAAAATTGCCTTATCAGCTCATCAAGGTATGACCATATGAACTGTAGATTTCAACTATTCAGATTCTGTATGGTTAAGATCATAAGGTTGATGCCATCAATAAAGCTCAATTTCAAAAATGAATCTGTAATAAATCTGGGTAGATATGTTACGAAGGCAAAATTAGCTTATGCTTTTAAAGAGTTGCCAGTCTACCAAAATCTAACCATATAAACAATTGATTTCAATTACTCAAGTTCGCAAAAATGAAGATCACAAGGTTAATGTCACCAATAAAAATTAATGTCTAAAAAGAATCTGTAATAAATCTGGATAAATATGTTAAGAAGGTAAAACTGGCTTATGCTTCTGAAGAGCTATATCAGTCTACCAAAATATAACCATATGAACAGTTGATTTTAACGACTGAAATTCTGTATGATGAAAATCAATCAAAAGGCTAATGCCACCAATAAAACTCAATTTCTAAAAACAATCTGTAATAAATCTGGATAAATATATCGAGAAAGAGAAATTTACTTATTTTAATGCATTTAAAGGTTACGTAGTTGACTTGAATCAAAATAAACCATTTCAAACTCAATGATGAACGAAAAACATTTGTTTTGCTCTTTTAAAGATAGGGAGGATCAGTACTTAATTGTAATACACAAAAAGTATCAAAGTAAGAAGAATTATAAACAAAACAAAAAAATATCTGAAAAGAAAAATATATAAAGTATAACTTTTGTTTTAAAATTTTGAATATATTCCATAATTGATCTAATTCAGTTTTCCTTCACTATATTTATATGTAAAATTATTCACATTTTATTTCTGATTGTTTTACAAGTTTCTCTGATTATATTACGAAAAATTATAAACCAAAAAAAATTATTACTATATAAGTGATCGACTAAAAAATTTTCGAACTTCTAACCCCTTACTATATTTGTTCGTGTATCGGATGAATTTAAATTGTTGTCTTTATTCCAAATTCGACGATTTTCAAGGATTTTTGAACTAACTAATTTTTAAAATACAATATTAAGATACAAGGATGTTAACAGAATCACTAAGAGAAATTTGAGATTCTCGGGCACCCTGTGTTTCTGTAAGGGTCTATATCAAACTTCTTTTTCATTATCTTCGAGTGCTTTAAAAAACTGATCAAGTAAATGTATGGGCGGGAAGATTTCCGTATCATGATCTGTGACAGAAAAATCACCAAGTCTTAGCAACTTCCGGGCAACGGTCCACGAAAAACTTTAAGAAATAATAATAAAAAACAATAACAGAAGGGTACCAACTCTCATATTAGGATATAAAAATCGTAGACACTCCCGCGCAAACCTCTATGTTTTTGTTTTGTTTTTTGTTTTTTTAAATTTGCAAATTTGAAATCTATTTGGCTCAATAGATCACAATACGGATATATGCCCATAAGGACTTAACATAATAGCTTATGATCAGGAAATAAAATGGCCGATTCTAAGTCATTATTTGATGGTCTCCAGCAAAGAATTAATACATTGATTACAGTTTAAAAAAAAAAACATTTTTTATTGATTATCTTTCTGATTCAAACAGTTCCATCAGAAAAAGGGTTAATTAAGTTTCTTTAAAAAGGTACCATTGTCTCTAGTGTTGTCTATAAAGTTTTTTTTCCGGAGCCGGATAGCAAAAAAATGTATACAGTGATCATAGTTGCAAACATTTTTTAATGATTAGCGTAATGATTCAAAAAGTTCCATCGGGAAAAGGGTTCATTAAGATGCTTTAAAAAGGTACCATTGTCTTTAAGGTTGACTATAATGTTTTTTTTAATAAAAAATATAATCTTAAAAAAACAATTCTAATCCTGTCTAAATTATTATAATAATTTGATTTCACAACAATTGAGCGATATAAGGCATCATAAAGAATTCATCATATTACCCTGATTTGTTAGCATAACTGTTAAACGACCATTCACTTCATAAAATTATTCTAAATTTCATACGAAATGCCACTTTGTACCAGCTCTCCAGTAGTGAAGCCTTTAAAATATTAGCAAAATTACCAAAAATTCTGAAACCTTTAGTTCTTAAATGTTTACCACTCTATAAAATATTTTGTAAAAAGCGTAGTTGTTGCTCTGCAAATCGTGATACGGAAATATCCCCGAATTAAAGTTGTTGTTTTTTTTTTACGTGATATTGATTCAATAAGTTTTTATTTATTCAGTCCTTTTTTTAATATTTTGAGAAAAATCAATACAAAAAATATCCTACACTATTATTAAATGACAATTAATTTAAAAAATACTTTTAAATTAAAATATAAGTTTATATTTTGAATTCAATCAAATAAAAGACGCGTTTTAATAAAAAAGTATCACTATTTAATTAGTTTAGAGTTTAAAACGATTATACAACAGTATCTAATATTAAAGCTTTTATTTAATAATGTTTGAATTTATTAAGTCGTTAGAACACCCATTTCATTGAAACCATTAATTTAAATTGAATCGATTAAAGTAAATTTCATTTCATTATTAGTTATAAGCGAAAAATCTTAAAACTGGTTCCTTTTTACCGATTTATTTTACGTCTTTAATAAAAATATTACATTTATGGTCATGAAAAGATATACTGTACTTTTTATCGCCAAGTTTTACAACATTTACATTAAAAACAACTTTCTGACAATTCACGATTATATATCCAGTATGTAATCAAAAATTTATTATTTATGTATACATTTTTAAAGATTTTGATTATTTTCATGATTTTGATGATAATTAGATACATGCTTTTTTAGAAATTATACGAAAGAACAATTTAATAAGCACCACCAAAAAGCAAATTATTATATTTGCGCTTGTGGAAACCAAATACACATCTGAGCCGCAATCCCTTTTATGTAGTACTACTATTTGCGTTCTATGCAAATATTTATCAACTTACAAATATTAACATTTTATGCAATTTAAGTATGAATTCTGTAGATGTAGGAAATAGTGTAATACGTTTTATAAACAAAAATAAATATAAATAAATTAAAAAATAAATGAAATATCCTAACCACATTGCATTTCAAAATTTGTTTTTAAAAACAATTGGATGAAATGGTATTATAAATAAAAGGTAAGCATGATTAAAATAATTACCTTGTTACTTGGAATTTTCTTACAGCCTGCAGTTTTGGACATTTTGGACAGCAAATATTCCACGAAGAACACAAAAAATACAGCAAAATTACGTCTCTCTCTATAACTTATATCCGGTAATTATTTACAGTTCAATGGTGTAATCACATAGATAAATTTCTGTAAAAATAATTAAGTTGATCCCATTTATTTTGATAAGTCGGGATTTTATGACAATTTTTTTTTCATCATAACATACACAAAAATCTTCAAAGCACTATAAGTCAAATCATAGATATGGCAATAAAATAAAATAGTCTGCTTAATATATTTCTGTACACAGAAGTTGCAGAAAACAAACACACATATTATGATGTGCCGTTCTAGGATACGTTTCTCACATGGAACATTTTCAAAACATCACACCCCACGGAGCGCTGTTTAGCTGTCGTGATTCCTCAGTTCTATGAGTGTTGTCAAAAGTCGATGATATGCGTCTGCAGATGACGGGTGATCAGCTGATCAGGTAGAGCGAAAGACCAGAGAAAACTGGTCAAAAGATACGAACTCCGATTTGGCACTGACTAGTGCCACATTGTCCTACTACATACGAGGAAAATTAAAAATGAGTGGCACAGGGTTTCTTTGACAACCTGCTTTAAGCCACTCCTTAGCTCAGTCTGAATGAAGCACGGCGATTTATCTGCATTGCTTGTAAACAGAAGAGTCCAACAGATGCAAGCGCCATTTCTAGTTCAGCTGAATTATGAGCATGCCGAAAAATAGTAAATTATTTCCCCAATAGATGGCACCATCATTAAAAGTCATTTGAAAGACAAGAAATTTTTTTTGAGCGGATTTAATTTCATGGATATAAAACTACTTTCATTTAGTTATAAATTTATTATTTAGACATAAAATTTCACACGAAATATTTGTTAAAAAAATAAATAAATGATGTACTGAAAGTTCAAAACACCAAAACTAATTGAATATTTCCTATTACTTTACATGACCAAAATGCATCCGAAACCAGTGGCAGAAACCGAAACTAGATCAAAAACATATGACACGATCTTATAATAGATTATCTGAGTTTCGTTTTCAGCTGACGAATTATTTCTCCTTCCAAAAATTATTAGAGATATAATTTTATTCAACATTTTTATCAAATTAGAGATCCATAAAATCCCGAGTTGTAACAGTTAAAAAATGCAAGTTTATTTAATTATTTTCAATTAAATAAACTTGATTTTTCAAATTATTTCTCGAAAACTCTTCGATTATTTTTTTATAGGTTAGATCAATGCATTTAAAATTATGCAATTAAACATGATGCAAAACATTTTATATCTCGCATATAAAAAAAAAACTACAATTAAAATTTATTTTTTGTTTAAAATTTTATTAAAAAAATAAAGTACAAAAATCCGGAAATGTAAAAACCCAAAATCGCATCTAAATTTAATGTTATTAACTCTATGACGCATAATTTTTATTAAGCATAATTTTCATACTTTTTTCATTATTTTGTATCAATTTAGGTCAGAATAGATTAAAAATATTATATTTAGCATTTTAATAACTTATGGTTTTGAAATATTGCATGAAACAACGGTATCTTTTTTTCTTCTTTTTTTTTGCTAATTAAAAGAAAAATCTTATTGTTAAAAGTAAAAACACAGCTCACCCAAATAATAATTTTTCAAATTTGCAGTTATTTAGATCTGAGATAAACAGTTGCCTTTGAAATTTCTTTAAATAACAAAATCAATTATTGATAAATTTTTGAATATGAATAAGAAAGAAAAAAAATTTCAAACTACTTTTTTTTGGCTATTATATTTTAGTACAAATATAATTTCTGTAATCTAACAGATTTATTTTGGTATCTATTATAAAAAACAGTGTAATTGAAAATTACCAAAATCCATTTTTATTTGTAACTAGAGAGTCAGAAAATTTATATATNTATATATATATATACACACATTAAACTACTAAACTCAGAGGTGCCAAGGCCTATACTGTGCCCATCTCAGTTTTCTTGACCTTGGGCTCTGGGGTGCAGACAGAAGTAGATGCTCCGGTTAGGTGGTCAGCCGAACGCGGAACCCCCAGTGTTTAGTTCCCAAGCATGCTTAACCTAAAAATTTCAAAAGCTAAAAACTAGCAATTTTTGCATCCCAAAATAACCATAAATGAAAATTAAAATCTATCGTTTACTCAAGCTTGAAATTAGTTAAATTTGCTTTGTTTAGTTTTTTGAACTGTGAAAAATTTTTTTAAATGCCGCTGTTTTAAGTCTTCAGCTTCACGTTAGATTATTTTGATGAGCGGAAACAATGTAACTCATTTGGAATTTTTTCTAAATTTCTGTAAAGTAAAAAAAAAATATATTTTCTTCTTCACTCTCGTTGCTGAAAATTAAGCATACGAGTAAGAGATTAAAGGATTGGAAAATCTTTTGCATTATTTTCTAAACCGTATCCATGCCGGTAGAATAAAACTAAGCAGCTTTAAATTATTGTACACTTAAGAAAAACACATTTAAAAGTTCGTGAAAGTTAAGTTTGTTCCTGTAATGGCTAGATTGTTAACGTGCTGTAACGCAAAGAAAAAAACTGATTTCTTTAAAATATAGAAAACTCAAATTCCCACATGCTTTAAACATTTAATGAATATTTTACTATAATGGAACATTCAGAACTGAGAATCGGTTGCCGTGAATTATTCTAAATATTTAATACCTTTATAATAATCCTCTAGAATTTTTTTTTTTATTATTTTAGTTTCAGTCAAAGTAAATAATTGCCCTTTGTCTTCACTGAAAATTAAGCATGTAAGTAAGAGACTAAAGGATTGGAAAATCTTTCGTATTTTTGTCAAAATCGGATCCATGCCAGTAGAATAAAAGTGCGTGACTAAAATATTGCACGCTTCCGATTATCACATTTACAAGTCTATGAAGATGAAGTTTTTTCATATAATGACTAGATCTTGTTAACTTGCTGAAAAATAAAACTGATTTCTTTAAAATTTAGAAAACCCAAATTCCCATACGTTCTTAGCATTTAATGAATAACTTTAAACGGTATAATGGAACATTTAGAACTATGAATCTGTTCCCATGAATTATACTAAATATTTAATACCTTTATAATAATCTGTTTAAAGTAAATGTTTGTCACAAATTCTCAAAGAATAGAGAAGCTTATTTAAATAAAGTGGTATATATTTTTGTTTTTGTATATGATGATTGACCGCAACGTAATTTAAATGAAAGTTCAAACAATTTATAATAGTTTTATCGTTACTGCAAAGAATCTTAACCAGCAAGTAAAAAACTGTATCGAAAAATTCCAAACAATTTATTGAACACTCAGATTACATTACATTCCGGAAAAAATTTATTGAACACTCAGATTACATTAAAGTGATGTTTTACAGCTTATATTTTAAGTTGAGCAATTTAATTAATTGCAATTTATTATCAATTTATGAAGACTACGAGTAACTGGTGAAAGAGATTGATCACCAATACTAGAGGTTTGAAATATAAGAAGTGTAAATTCATTATTTTAAGTATTGCACAAAAATCTAACAATAAACTACGAGTATGAAGTGTAATGATTTCCTTTAGGAGGTAATTTATTTTTACCAAAGTACCTTAGCTAAACATAGAAAACTAGCCATATTGCAGGAATATCGCTACAGTAACTGTATAACTACAGTACTTCAATAGGACACAAAACACTTTAAACTGTTGAAAACATTTCTCAAAATGCGTGACGAACTTCAATAAACTCAATGTAATGGGATAAAAACTAAGAACATTCGGTAAATTTTAACCAGAGAATGTAGCTTAATTTTTGTTTAAAGGATATACAGAATTAATACATCTTACGGACTTTATTTTGCTTCAATTTTGATTGTATTGCTTAAGTAAATTTTATATGCGTTTAGTTCTTATTTTTCATGTTTTTTTTTTTTTGATGAACCCAATGTTGGTTTCTATGACCATTTTGCATTAACTTTGGCGTCACAATGCATATATAACTTAATCAATCATAGTAGGTATTAAAAATGTTTAAGCATCCGTTGCTGTTACAGTTAATGGTAGAGAATTCCGGTACTAAAATGTTAAAAACAAGCTAGGATTTTAGTTCAAAATTCAAGCAAAATCGAAGCTTCTTATAGCTTTGTTTCGAAGATTTACGAATTATAAAAAGACTCCAAATTAAGTCTTGTAAACTTGAAGTTTAACGTAAATCTGAAGTATTATCAAATTGCGCATTTTTCTAGTCTATTTTTATCGTATCAGATGCTTTTAGCAACATTGCACTGAAAATTTCCTAAGGCTTTATTCTGTCTCTTACTCATATTTAAAATAATCTCTAGAGTATGTTGCTGAAGTTACTTGAATTGCTATTAACTAATTTTTAATAAGTGGCATAAAATAGTTTTACAATATTCTAGTTCTAAAGGGAATTCTAGTCTAGAAATTTAAAAACTTATTGCATGCTTCGATATTTTACACTATAAGGAGAAACAGTTTTGTCCCGAAATTATTTGATTTAGTTGGAAAACTATATCATCGGACCTGCCGTTTAGAATCCTAAAGGGCTCACAAACGGCGCAGGAGGCAATCATGCCTAAATACGAAGACTTGTCAAATGACTAAGAAGTCTTTACAATATTGGAAAGATTTGTCAAAACAGTAATTAATCGCTGCATTTGATTATTTGGACGTTATTTCTGCAAAACACATCGATGGCGGTAAAGATATGGTTGAAATTTCCAATAATATTTGGTATCTCAAATGACTGTTTCATGGGGCATCATCTCATGGGTTTAGAGAATTTGTAGGACAACGTTTCAGTCCGGAAAAATTTAAAAATTCAACTCAATGTTGACGAAATAAATACGGGAATCCTTTCATTTCACTGAAAAAAAATTGGTTTAATCTTGAGATAGACCGACTCTTCTACGACAGATGCATTGGTTTAAGACCGAACCACCTTAAAAATTTGGTATAAAGGCTACTCGCTCGTAAATTAAACTATTTTGAACGAAATAAGACCCTATTGTTAAAAAATATTAAGATTGGTCAACTGGAATTAACATTTTCAATTTATTCTTTTATAAAGTTACATAAATCCAGCTGTTATCAGGGCGTGTCCCGTTGACGTTGATTTCAAATATAATTCTAGATATGTAAAAATTTGAAAAAACCTTTGATTAAAACTGTATCGCTTCGCCTTGTAATAAGTATTCTCAACTTCGGTACTATTTCCTAGATTCAAAATTTTTTAAAAGCATTAGGATACTCATTAATATTACCATTTTATTAAAATTTAAAAATCTTCCACTTAATCCTTTCCCCATATTCAATTAGTTCTAACTACACAGATTTGTAACTGCGATGAAAGTAGCAGAATCATTGAAATATTTGAAAGAAATTTAGTGTTTGTTTTTAAAGATTTAAAAAAGTAAGATTTTTAGAAGAGTATATTGAAACTACCTTTTCACTGCAGTTCATGATTTTTTCACTAAATATGAATTTACATAATTTGTCAGACTTTTAATGTCGGAACCTAGTTTACATTAGCCTTCAAATTTGAAACTTACATATTTAAAACACCACAAAAGTCACTTAGGAACTGAATGTATCTGACGTTATAATTTCGAATCGTATATTGTATAAAAAATAGTTACGAAGTCAACCATTGAATAATTATGACAGTATATTATAACTAATTGTTAATTA